TATTTATTTATGATGGAAGAATAAGGATTTATGATACCGTACGTACAGTACCTACACCTAAAAAAACAAAAAAAAACAGAACACACTTAATAATAACTTATAAGGTGGCCTTTCGCGAGTAAATAAAAAAGGTACAGTAAACAAGGTTAATTCTCAATGAATTATAAATACATTACTGTTAGGCCTAGACTACAACTACAACAGTACCTACATTCATGTATGTGTTGTTTGTTGAATTATCGTTGTTTTGTAACGTCTTTGTAACGTGTTATAAAACTAATTCCTCCATGCTTTCAACATTTAGTTGTAGGCCTAGGCCTATGTAATATATTTTAGACATGCCTAGGCCCTACATAGGCTAGCATAGCCGACTTGGTCTCAACGTGCATAGAAACATCACAATAAATTTAAAGTCGTAAACCTTCACAATTGTCTCTTTTGTCGTTACTCACTTTGGAATGGAAAAATCCGATGTTCTGTTTTTTGTTTTTTTTTTAGGTGTAGGTACTGTACGTACGGTATCATAAATCCTTATTCTTCCATCATAAATAAATAGTTCATGTGTATTAAAAATGGATAGGAAGAGTGTTCGCGCGTTTTATACATTTGACAGTGTGTGCGCGCGTAACAAACAAAAGTTATAATTTTGTAATAAAGCGCTAGCTAGAAAAACGTATTTTTTATTCAGTCATTTAGCGCAAGGACAAAGACATGGATATGCCTAGGTAGATATAGGCCTTTCTAGAAACTTGAACCATGAAGACGAAATTTTCGATCTCCCTGGCCTTCAGCATCTTTTACCAAAACCGCCGCAAATTCAAGATTGCTTTATCATCAACCAAAAAATGGGATGTGATTTTTTTTTTACTTGCTGCATAGGCCTAGACAGAAGACAGTCAAAAAGGCAATTAAAACCAAAAAAACAAACAACCTACGCTAAATACGGTACTATAGGCCTAGTAGGCCTAGGCCTACGGACTTTTGCAAGATTTGTTTAAAAGATGTTCAGCCGTAAACAATGAGAGGTACCTGTAAGTGATATTACTTATTGAATTACAGTCATAGACCCACCAGGCTAGACCTAGCCTAGGCCCTACTACTAATCAAAACAGAAAAAAAAATGCCGGCACGTGTAAATTAACAACTGCAACTGGGAATTTGAATTAGGTCTTGGCCTATAGGCTAGAGGGGCCAGGGAAGTTAAGACCACCTCATCCCCATCATTGATTAGGGCAGCCTTATAGACTGTAGAAGACTCTTGGGATACAAGTAAACAAGTAATGCGAGGATCCCGAAACCCGTTACTTAGCATAGGCTACTTGTTGTTTTATTTGCCGTACTAGGCCTCAGGCCCTAGCCTGGATGGATTCTTTTTCTCACTGGACTTGATCGTCTCTGATTTTTAATAGTAGACACATTAAGATCTCTCAGAGCTAGGCCTAGTTTGCATTGCAAGCCCAACGTCGTTTTGAATCCACATGAAGTGATCATCCACGAAGTGAGCACACGAATTCTTTTGACTATGCTCATCCGGCCCATGAAAATTTGAATTGTAAAATTGACAAATTTAACTCAACAACGTCTTTTACTATCTTTAGGTAACGTAAAATATTTACTTCGTGTGCACTTATAACCCCCTACAACACAATTTACTGGCATATTGTATAAAACTCGGGAAACTATGTAATATACTAACAGCCTAGGGTAGAAGTTCGGGCTTTTCTTTCTCCGCTAGGCCACCGTCGCAGTGTTTGTTTTGATTTCGCGCTTGGATGAAGTTTGGCAAAGTCGGTCACCAATGACGTCATTGAGTGACCTCTTTGTTTCTAAGGACTTTCAAAAATGACACTTTAAACTCATTTTTTTCGTACAAAATCAATTTTATTCGTAATATATGACCAACACTTGTGTTTATAATATATTTATAAATATAAACACGCTGTAGTTTATAAAAATTGTCAGAATAGGTGGCAGAGGCACTTTAATTTATATTCAAAAGAAATTCAAAAGAGATAGAACCTCCACTAGAATGGAACATATACAAAGACACACAGTATGGTACAAACTTGCATTGAACTTCATAAAAAAATATGTATTTCATCCGAACAATTTAAATTATTAAATGTAACTTATCTTTTAAATAAAGTCTCTTACCTCACATCAGCTAAAGGGGGAACATAGATTAAGTGTTCAGTGCAAACAAAGGTTTGTTTCTGCAAAATGCGTTTCATCCAATATCACTTTGAAAGTGATGCGTGACGGTTGGTGACTATGGCATAGATAACTGCCGGGCCCTAGGTAAAATTGGTAAAAATGCACCTGAGACAGAGCCTCTAGTGGGGTCTACTCAGGCGAAACTCTGAATGCTTATACGTTCTGAGGTTTTTTAAAACAGATACGGTACGGCATTAACGCTCAGAAATATCTAAAAAATATTTTGTTAAAAAAATTAAAGAATATTGAGAACAAACTATGGTCAAGTCATGTTATCGTTTAGGGCCTATTAAGCATTTCATGAATCTATGATATATTATAATATTGACAACATCATCAATAGAACATATCAGGTGGAATTGTGTCCAACCCATCGTGAAAATGTACTGAATACTCAGTACATGTGAAAAACATTTGCAAAAATAGTACTCGCTGCTTACTTTGGCTCGAATTCAACCCTGGCCATCAGGTGCAAGCTCGGTGGTCTAAAGACATGATGCCAGGCTAGTTATCTGGAGAATGTGGGTTCGAGTCCCACTGGAGAACAACTTGCAAATATATTTTGCAAGTGTTTTCACACGCACTGAGTATTCAGTACATTTTCACGACAGGTTGGGCAAAATTCCACAGGCCCCACCTAATTTATTCTCCTGGCGCGAATCCAGGTATTGTATATTCCATCACGATAATAACAATTACCATTCAATAATAGAAGAGGTCATCGACCTACTCGCAGTGAAGTGAATCTAAAATGTATTCATGAAGTTATGATGATCTGTAGTGATTAAAAACGTACACAATAATAGTTGAACCAACTTTAAAATACCACAAATACAAATGTACGTGACGATATTTTATTGCTTTAGAAATGTGATTTCAAAAAGTGTAT